AAATAGTGTAACTAAAGTGTACTATTCTAAAAAAAAATAAGAGCCCATGGTGTTAGGGGAAAAGCACTGGGATTGGCTAGCTGGCTGAAAGAAGAGAGTGCAGATAAAACGGTCTTTTTCAAGATGGCAGCCAGTAACTCGTGGAGTTCCACAGGGGTCAGTGTTGTGAGCATGTTATACATCAATGATCTGGCCAAAGGAACTGAGGGCACTATAGTTAAAGTTTACCTAGCTTTATTTCATCTGCAATGTTGAGGAGACAGGAAGGCTGCAGAAGGACTTGGATAAGCTAGGAGAGTGAGTAAAGAAGAGGCAGATGGAATACAATGTGGGAAGTTCTGAACTTTTGTAGGAAGAAGAGACTTAGACTATTTTCTAAATGGGAGAGGCTTTGGAAATATGACACACAAAGGGTCTTGGAAGTCTTGATTCAGGGTTCCCTTTAAGGTTAACATGCAGGTGCAGCTGGCAGTTAGGAAGCCAAATGCAATGTTAGTGTTTGTTTCAAGAGGCTAGAATACAAGTTTTGAGCCCCATATCTAAGGATGGATGTGCTGGCCTTGAAGGGGGACCACAAGAGAGTCACAAGAATGACTTCATATGACAAGCCCTTTGTCCACAGGGAGTGGTTGAGGACTCTGGGTCTGTACTTGGAGTTTAGAAGGATAAGGAGAAATCTTGGTGAAACCTACGGAATACTAATAGGCGTGGTTACAGCAAACTTGCAGAGGATGTTTCCATTACTACGAGACTCTGGAACCCGAGAGCATAGCCTCAGAGTGAAGGGACAACCCTTTAGAACTGAGAGGAGGAGGAACTTCTTCAGCCACCCGGGTAGTGTATCTATGGAATTCAATACGACAGAAGGCTATGAATGCCAAGTCATTGAGTGTATTTAACAGAGATAGATAGATTCTTGATTAGTAAAGGGATTGAAGGTTAGAGGGAGAAGGTGGGGAAATGGGGTTGAGAAACAATAATCAGCCATGATCAAATGGCAGGGCAGACTCAACTGGGCCAAATGGCCCAATTCAGCTCCTATGTTATGTGCAGGACCAAAGAAATTTGATGTACCCAGGTCCTGCTGCTAGCCGATAGAAGTAGAAAGTCTAGTTAGCTGTTTAAAAAGGTGGCAGCACTGGTAGGTAGAGCTGTTCATAAAGAATACACTATTCTAGGCTTCATAAATAGGGTCACAAACCACAAGAGCAGGGAAGTTACGATGAACTTAAAAGACACTAGTTAGTCCTCATGTGGAACACTGTACAGTTCTAGAAGGCACACTATAGGAAGGATAAAAATGCATATGAAGGCAAAGCGAGAGCCGACTTTAATTGAATATTCGCTGAGCATGATCAAATATTCTACTTCACAAATAAGTATGTCCGCACTCTCACCAACTTTTGAGTGGGTCATGGTTAAAAAGAGGGAAGATTCAAGAGGTTTCACAACCACTGGAAGGAATGAAATTCCAAACATCTATTTTGATGTTTCAATGATGCATCTGGTAAGTAGGGGAAAGGAAAAGGGGATAGGTGTGGATAACACATTGATAGATTGTAAAATAATTTTAGGCAGATTGCAAAAAGTCAACATTGATATAACAGCTAATTAATAAAATAGGTGAATGGACCTAAGCTTGACTGCCCAATCAAGAAGTGTTTGCAAGATACTTGGATAGAGGAAAGGTGGTTTATTTGCTAAGCAGACCCATACACAGAAATCTGAATAAAGATATTGTCTGGATAACTTTTAAGCAGTCTATTGGTCCTAAAACAATCTAATTATACAGGAGCAAAGTGACCAAGGACTAAAAAACACCGGGTGACAGACACAGTTCTCCCCCAAACTGAGCCCATTAATATCCAATGACTGATATACATTTCCCTCTGAAAACACCCAGAAGTCATTTGATCATATAATTTCAAGTTAGATATCTGTTTCTTTTTTGAAGAAATTGACAAAGCAATTATTGCTTCCACTAGAAGTCTGCTTTACACATCGACTAATCTATAAGGTTCTCCGTTAGCAGATTCTACATGAATTGGAGGATCATTAATTTTAAACCTCAGATTTGTAATTTGTATGCAGTCTCCATCAAATAGCCTGCTTTTCTCTACAAATGTCAAAGTATCTGCATTTCAAAGATTTCAGTGATGGACCTTAATCTTCTCGCTATTGAAAACAAATTTAGCAATATACCTCTTTCTTCACAAAACATCCTTTTTATCTCATCTTCATCATACTCAATGCTATATTGCTAGAATTGTGAATACGTAGGTTCTATATTCCTGATTAGGACAACCTATGGTGGTATTTATAATCCACTGTAATGGGCTAACCCAACAAAAAGAGGAGAATGACTTATGTACAAAAATGTGGTTCTATAAAAGGCCACTACACTCAGCATATCACAAAATTACTTTGGTTAGAGTGGTAGGGGTTGCATCATACTATAGCACCGAGGAGCTTCCGATGTCTGTTTCTGTTATCAGCTACACAGGGGATAATTGTAAACCTGCAAATGTGCCATCTTTGTTCTTCCTGAGTGTGCATATACTTGGATCACCAATAAGAAAATCCTAATATCTTTCACCAAAATGAGATGTGCACTGGTTTCACATTCCAATCAAACACACTCCGAGTCACTTACAGCTGCATTTTAAGTGCCTAGCCTTTGGCACTCCATTTTCGGAAACAACCCTGCAGCTGTTGATTGATACATAATTTCGCACCAGTGTTTGATACTCTTCATAACAGCAAAATCTTCACTCTTACAACACTAAACCACACTCAGCAGTATTGGGCCTCACCATCCTCAATAAATCACCCTCTACTCCAGGATAATTCCAGCAAGAAAATGCAAGACCAGAGCTCTCTATTCCACTATCATAGAAACTAATAAACCGTTCAGTTCCTTGAAGCTGTTTCACCATTCAATGAGATTAGAAGCAATATGTCTCTTAATAATGTTATCTAATATAGACTGGTCTTTAAAATTTTGAGTGAGCCAGCATCTAAAACATTTGAGGGGGGACAGCTCCAGCTCACTACCCTTTGTGTGAAAAATTGTTTAACTCTGGAACGGCTTGGTTCTAATGTTAAAGATTATTTCCTCTAGCTTTGGATTCTGTAGATAGCAGAGCAAGTCAGTGTCCCTTAATCAGTTTAAAAACCTCAATCAAATGATTACTTGACTTTCTAAATTCAGAGGGATACACCTCTGCAGTCTAGTATATTCTGATGAATCCTACTGTGCTCCTGTCAAGGTGCAGTGCCCAAAACTGTTCAGTTCTTCAGAAAGGGCCAGACATGGCTTTACAATTTGAGTAATAACTTACTCTTCTCCATTCCGAAGCCCTTGAGCTACCAGCCGATATTCCATGAGCCTTTACTTATTCTACTTGCACACTAGCTCTCAAATGATTTGTGCATGTAAGTATGCTCAACGTGCTTGACAAGTTCAAAATATTTACGCATTTATACAGGAGAGAGAGAGAGAGAGAGAGAGAGAGACACACACAACTCATAGAAGTAATTCAAAACCAGGAGACCACAGATTCATTAGTTTAACTTCATTATAGTCAGGCTGCAGCAGGCATTAATAAACATATGCTGTCATATATAGAGCTTTATAGAATCCCAACCTTGCTTCAAAAAAAGCATTTCAACCATCAGGCCATTTTTCTTTCAAAGCATAAGTGCCCAATTAGTACAGTTTATTTTAATTTTCAAGAAGTGTTTTGATAAAGTGTTACTACCCAAGAGGTTCCTAAATAAAATTTCTTCTTGAGGTTTTGAACTTGATAATAAAATGATTGCATTCACATAGAAGGTAGTATTTAATGATGGTAGCTTTGGGGGGAAACTAGGAACTAGCGAAGTCCCACAGGAATTCTCGTCAGGCCAGTTTCTCTTCATTTTTAGTAGTAATCTAGATGGAGGCATGGAGTGGGTGGGGGAAGAAATATTGATTACAAAAGACATACGCAATAGACAAACGAGTTGCTCGAAAGTGGACCCGAACACACTGGGAGAGTGGATCTAGCGTATGATAGATGACTTCCAACACATGCAAACACCACTTGACGCATTGGACTGGGTGGCTATTGTGGTATGTATATGTCATAGGAGTTGGCTGCTCAAGACTAAACTGAAAAATTATTTGAAATGTTATAAATACATAACTGGCGTTACTCGGCATTGACAAAGTAACCAGCACATTGGGACAACTAGACATAAAACTAGAGTTACAAGTTCTTATCCAAGACCTTCATGCAGTTAGATCTAGAATACTGTAACCCTGTTTTGGTCTATTCACATCACTAGGTGCACTAAAAAATCCAGAAGACAACCTTTCTATTAATATTTGCTTAAAGGCCTGGTTATCAGATTAGGTTCAGGGAACTGGGATTTCCTATTTAGGAAAATTGCTAGGGATGCAGTTTAGAGTTAGAATTTTAAAATAATTAAAGGAAAAATAAACATTTTAGTTAGATGGAAATAGGAGGACTAAGGATATCACCACAAATTACAGACGCACATGGTTAGACAAGTGTGGATTTTTACAAGTCTTCAAGGAAGTAGCTAGGTGGTTTCCTCCATGGGAAAGGATTTACAAGTCATTGTAGATAGACAGCAAAAGCACCATCAGTCACGTCAATTATCATGATTAACCAAAATCGATTAATTTTTTTGTGAAGTCAGAGTTAATTTTTCCTATATGAGGGCACGTATTTTCTCCCTTTCAGAAGGATCAGGGGGTGCAAGAGTAGGCAGTTTTGAATTGCACTGTGCCATTAAATGTTGAATGGACCAACTGAATCTTTTGTCTGTCCTCCATTTTTATATGTGCAGTTACAACTGGGCCAAATTTTAAAATATTGCAATGCAATATCTGTCCAAAAACAAGAGAGACTAGGAACATTCCATATTGTTATTGAAGCAAAAAAAAAAAAAAACTTATAAAACCAAAATGTCCTTATTTATCATGAACATACCTACTGCAGGTGCGTCATACTCATCGCCGAGAAGAATCTCTGGGGCAGAATACGCAAGAGACCCACAGCTTGTTGTTAACTTCTTTCCAGGTTGAAACTTGTTGCTAAACCCAAAATCTGTAAGTTTTACAATTCCTTGTTGTTCAAAGAAAACCACATTTTCTGGCTTAAGGTCTCTGTGAACAACATGTAGTTTATGGCAATAGGATATTGCATGCACTATCTGTGCAAAGTATTTCTTTGCTAAATCTTCACTAAGACCATCTTCATGTTTCATGATGTAATCATACATATCACCTCCATCTCCCAATTCCAGAATGAGATAAAGTTTGGTTTGAGTGTCAATCACTTCATACAGACGGACAATGTTGGGATGTTGCACAAGTTTCATGCATCGTACCTCCTGGAACAAGTGCCCTGTAGCTACAGTGTCCAATTTTGTTTTATCAATGACCTTCACTGCTACTTTTTCTCCAGTGAAAACGTGGCGAGCAAGTTTCACAACTGCAAAGTGGCCCCTGCCCAATGTTTTATCCAAATCATATAGCCCAGCAATTTTTCCATCATATCCACGTTTAAAACCTGCCATGCTGCTTTCAAAACTGGAAGCAGAACAGAAGATGTTTATATCCAGTAGCAGATAAAATGTGCCAATATGCAATTATTTCAAAAATTCCATCACAGACAAAGAATGCATTTTCCCCAGTGTTTAATATGATGAACCCTGTAATACAAAGAAAAGGAAAACATTAGCTTTACTTAAAAGTATAGCACTATGTGTAAATCACAGTCTAGGGAAAATATTTTCAATTTATATATCTACAGAATTAAAATAGAATGGAACGACAAAAATCTGCGTGATTTACGCTATTGTAATTTCAGCAAAAATAAATGCATGAAATGCCATACTATTTCTTAAACAGTTACACATTTGATAGAATTTATGGAATTTCATAATTTACAACTTAGAAGAGCATCAAAAGTAATGGGATTTCAAAGGCAGTTTACCTGATCAAGATTTCATTTCTACTCATTAATAGTACAAACTAGGCTACACAGAAAGACTACATGCAAATTAACCAAATAACTCAACTGTGCTGGGGTATGCTGGCAACTAAGACATGAAACATAGCCAAAAAGTGGGACAATTGAAAATTAAAAGACAAACATACAAATCTCTCTACGAATGCTGCAACTGCAGAATTGAAGGTTAAGTCATTACTGAGACACTGGTAATAACACAAGCACAGATCATGCACAGATTTCAACTCAGCCTGTAGATATTTTAATATTGTTAACCATTACCCTCTTAAAATGACACTGTACATCAAGAAACAAAACATTACTTGCTACTGGTAAGTAGTTTTCTAAACATGGAAAATTTAATTCTGAAAAGACAGCCATTCAGCTTACTGTACTTGGGGAGAAAAAAAAAGACAACTAATACTCCACTTCCCAGCACTTGTCCGTAGCCCATTACGTTATGGCACATGAGTTGAAAGTTCCAACCTCCAAGACTGTTTCAGGAAGTGTTAATTCCATAACCCAAACAAACAGTCCTCAACTCCTTGCTAAACCTTCTGTTAATTACTTTAAATCTATGCCCCCTGGTTACAGACTTTATTATTAAGGGAAATAAGTCCTTCATATTCAAGCGTGACCTATCCAAACATCAATTAAAACTCTCCTTTCCTAGCAATATTCTCATAAATCTGCTTTGCACCTCTCTAGCGTGATCATATCCTTCCTGTAATACAGGAGCCAGAAATGCATACAAATATTTTAATTATGGCCAAACCAGTGTTTCTACTTTTCATCACATAGTATCTGCCAGACAATTTAGAAAGAAATTTAAAAACAGTGCTCATAGATGTAAAAGTTATATGATTTGCAACACAATGCCATGTGATAAACCACAAACATTGACAAAAGGTCACCAGTATATGTGCTAAATTCTTCAGTTTCAAAAACGCATTGACGTCATTACTAATGTCTCAATATTCTAGAACTATCAACTTAACTCTATAGGTGATTTACAAAGTGTCAGTAAGATAGCTGCAATGAAAAATAAATTCATTAAATGTACTAACAGATACCAAAGACAAGGAAATATTTTAAAACTCCCTATGGAATATAGAAAGACAAAGTAATCACAATTAAACAACCGTGTACATTTGATTCTACTCTTTCCACATCACGCTTCCTTTTCATTTCCTCTACGGTCACCGTTATCAATTATCCCTTTAAATTTACATATTACATTACTGCTTAAATTCAGCAAAGTCAGTCTTTGGAATAAAAGGTAAAAGGTGTATTTTTCCCCAGTTAGAATCAAATTGAGGCTTCAAATATCGAATTCTTGTATTATAATTTTGCAGTTCATTATCAAATAAATTTTGAAATCATTTTTCAATAACTTGCATGGGTTATCTGAAATTTACTTAAAATGAAGAGCCACTTGCAAGGATCTTCTAGGTACAAAGCACCAGGTAGTTCTGTGAAGATCAATAACCTGATATAAAACTTGTTCCATTTCAACAAATCTCTTGCTATTTCAATTCTGTATACATAAATAACTTTAATGTCTAGCTTGAAAGATTCAAAGAGGGCAAAAGTCAAATTGAGAATAAGAACAAATTGTCATCACACAGATGCCAAAGCCTTTTTTCAAGCAAGTACAGCATACCACTAACAGGCTCTTCCAACATTATCACCACTGCAGGCTGTTATATTATTTTACATTATGATTCCAAAACTAACCCAAGAAATATACATAAGAAAGCTCTCGGAGCAGGTTTGGAAAGTACTTTGGAAGGAAACTGTCCAATTAAGCAATGGGTTTAGATGTTTCTAATGTAGAGCTGATGAGACTTGTACTATAATGCAAACATTAAAGTTACAAATTTTGACAAGAATTCAATAAATATATTCTGTATATCGAATCCAAGACAAAATAAAAACACATGCAGTCCACTTTATGTTAGATCTGTTATAGTGGGCATTAAGTCAGAACCAAGGTTAATGAGTAATCTGCTTTATATCCATGGTATCTAACAAATCTGGAATTGCTGTCTAATGTCAATATTTCCTTCTTACAATATGTGCTCATGTGGGAAGGAATTTAAACAGATTTTTTAAAAGAAAACTTTATAAATATGTATATAGACCTTGGATACAGAAAGGCTCAAGTTTTTGTCATGTTTGTCTCAATTACCTTAGTGTTGAGTTCTCATTTGTCCATTTCTGTTCATGTCCTATGCCTGCATAAATAATCATAAATCACTACCACTTAACATTCCCCAACTTTTGAGAAGCAAGTCATTTTTGTCACCCCAGAAAAGGCATCTCCATGCCTAAAAAAAAATTAAGTTTTATATTTTCTTTCCACAATAATTTTAGTCTGAAGCTTGTCTGGTGAAAAACTCCCTTTAAACATAACCTTATTCACTTAAGTGGCAAACAGTCCTGCAACGTGTAGAAGAACATACTACAGTAAGTGATAATCTAATCTTAAATATCCATGCCAAATATTAGTGAATTACTAGCGTGTCTGCCAAACAAAATTAAAAAGTGCACATTGATTAATGTTGATTGCGTGGAAATAACCAAGCTCAAAAAAGTAAAACCCTCTTATAACTCAATGTAAAACAGCTCAATTTAAAATTACAGATCATTATCGGAGAGGTACAATACAAATAAAAACAACTTGTCATGCAAAAATCAAACTTTACTATAATTGGACAGCATTTTAAGATACTAATAAACAGTTACATTGCTTTGATTTTGATGGTATATAGAATTGATGTTTTAAAATATATACAGTAAAAGACAAAATAACTGGGTTTATCTAATGTCAGAATGTCTGGCCCAAACTTTTGTTAGCTTATTTAGCTAAGTATCTTTTGACCCCCAAAATATAACTGTTTTGCACATCTTGTATTTCAAAAGGTTTTTATTTTAGTTAAGGTGAAAATTCACAGAAAGTCTTTTGTATTGTAACCAGGATACTTTAATTAAGAAGTTAGAATAGGCAAAATGTTTTCATTGCTTTTTCTAATGCAACATAAATATAAGGAAAGGTAAAAGAGAACTAAGTTCTTGCAAAGCTGATGCATCCGCTAGGGATAATTTTGAATGTAAAACTAGCTGACGCCCCAAAACTACAGAGTAAGGCAACTCATGATACAGCTACGACGTGAAGGTGCGTACGTTGGACTAGGGTAGACAAAACCAGAAGTCACACGACACCCGGTTACAGTCCGACAGGTTTATTTGAAATCAAGTCTTCGGAGCGCTGCACCTTCGTCAGATAAAGTCACGTCCTGGTGTCATGTGACTTCTGACATGATACAACTGACAAGGGAGGTGGTGAAAGTGATAGGTTCATATAAGCAAATAAAAATCTGATATAATATGTATTCTACAGATATTTTGTAAAGTATAAACAGTAGTAAATTCTGGATAAAGTTTCAGTATTCAAATTTAAAGGGAGGTATTGAATAAAGATTCAGAATTGAGATGTTAATTCTGGTTAATCGCAAGTAATGCTGAAAAAAAAATTAGTAAATATGCAAATTAGCTTAATCTAAATAAAGAGTTGTGTACTGGCTGAAGATTGAAATTATATATTGTAGTTGTAAATTTACCAAGCATTCTTTTTCCCAGGGCAGAAATGACTATTATGAGGTGACATAATTCTAAGGTAACTGGAGGAAGGTATAGGGGAGATGTCAGAGGTCGGTTCTTCACAGAGAGAGAGGTGGGTGCGTGGAATACGCTGCCGGCGGTGGTAGTGGAGTCAGATACATTACGGACATTTAAGCGACTCTTGGATAGGCACATGGATGATAGTAAAATATAGGGTATGCAGGGTAGTTTGATCTGAGAGTAGGATAATAGGTCGCCACAACATCGTAGGCCGAAGGGCCTGCACTGTGCTGTATTGTTCTCTGTTCTTACTTCATTGAAGCACCAAAATTAGCATAAGAAGATAAAAACCAAAAGAACTGCGAATGCTGTAAATCAGGAACAAAAGCATAAGTTGCTGGAAAAGCTCAGCAGGTCTGGCAGCATCTGTGAGGAAAAGAATCAGAGTTAATGTTTCAGGTCTGGTGACCCTTCCTCAGAACTGATGGTAGTTGGGAAAATGTCAGCTTATATACAGAAAATAGGGAGGGGGTGGGGTAGGGAGTAAACGATAGGATAGAGCCTAAAGAAACAGAAGAGCAGTTGGACAGACAAAGGAGTTGATAACGATCCGGCTGTGAGGGTGATTGGTTGTTAATGGGGACTGTTAGTGACTAACAATAGGTGGTGTGTAATGGTGTGTGGGGTATAGGGCTAGGACATGGGAGAGTTTAGGCCCTAAAATTACTGAACTTGATAGAGTCCAGAGGGATGGAGGGTCCCCAAGCGGAGAATGAGGTGTTGTTCTTTCAGAGATAGTAGGAACTGCAGATGCTGGAGAATCTGAGATAACAAGGTGTAGAGCTGGACGAGCACAGCAGACCAAGCAGCATCAGAGGAGCAGGAAAGCTGACGTTTTGGGCATAGACCCTTCATCAGAAAAATGGCCTTTCTGAAGAAGGGTCTCGGCCCGAAACCTCAGTTTTCTTGCTCCTCTGATGCTGCTTGGCCTGCTGTGTTCGTCCAGCTCTACACCTTGTTATCTCTGTTGTTCTTCCAGCTTGTGTTGTGCTTCACTGGAACACTGCAGCAAGCCAGAGACAGGCATGCTGGCCAGGCAAAAGGGTGGTGTGTTGATGTGGCAGGCAACAGGTAGCTCAGGCTCTTTTTTTGCGAGCAGAACGTAGATGTTCTGCGAAGCAGTCATCCAGTCTACGCTTCATTTCCCCAACGTACAGGAGACCTCATTGTGAGCAGTGAATGCAGTAGACCAGATTCTGGGTAAGTGCAGGTGAAATATTGCTTCACCTGGAAGGTGTGTTTGGGCCCTTGGATACTGGTGAGGGAGGAGGTAAATGGGCAGGTGTCGCACCTTCACCAGTCATGGGGGAAGGAGCCGTAGGGCTGTGGGGGGGGCGGGAGGCATTGGGGGTGAAGGAAGTGTGGACTAGGGTATCCTGGAGGGAACAGTCCCTGCGGAAAGCAGACGGGGAAGGGAGGGGAATACGAGTCTGGTGGTGGCATCTCGCTGGAGGTGGCGCAATTGGCATCTGATGATCTTCTGGATGTGGATGCTGGTGGGATGGTAAGGGTCTAAAGTGGACCAGACCAAACCCACTTCAAACAAATAAAAGGAGATAGCCTAGATTCTAACCTTTTCTTATTTAAAGGCAAGTGTAAGGTGCTGTGTTCCAGATGTAATTCAACTGGTTACACTACTTGGCTTTAAGCAAAACACACTTTATTCTTACCATATAGTTAAAATACAAATAAATAAAAAGAATTGATATAAATTTATTTCTATTTGGAAAACTTAACAGAATAATAGGTTATTTAACTACTAAACAGCAACTGTTCTAATATAGTAACATTCCCATAAATTCACCCATTCGCTGCTTCTATTGTTCCAACATTTTTAACAAAAAACCCAAGGACTTACAAGCTGCTTACTTTATTGGCTTGAAACAGACTTAAGCATTTGTGTCTCAACTTCTCTTCATTAAAAAAAATGACAAAATACACCTCTTAAAACCATAGTATCACCACAGTATGGTGAGGTTATTGATGAGGGATTTAAGAACAAGAACAAAAAAAATTAAAAATTAAGACATTTGTGTTCTGAGATTTCCTTACTTTCACAAAACTGTATAATACACGTGAGAACACTTTATCTAACCAGATAAAGAAAAAACTACTTACTTTTCAGGATTCAATACAAAACAGTAGTTTCAAGGGTGATATCTCAAGTGTTTTTTTCGATGCACTGAACCTTTTAAGACAGTGACCAAAATAATGCTGTTATCCTCGAGACACGTACACTATTCATTCATGTCATGACACTAACACCTTCACTAGCAGATTTATAACTACCAGCATTTCATTTAGGTACTATAGCTCAAAATGTTTGATAACTGTACTGCTGAGATGTGTTATGATTCCAAATCACGGGATTACCAGACCAGGCAGATCCTGGAATAAAATCCAAAATTCCTAGAATGGCTTCACAGATCAATTTTTTAAGTTCATGTGGTCAGTCACTGAAATACAATCACATGAGACTGAAGAATTTCTTTAGCAACAGAACAGAAAACATATTGCACAAAAGAAAAACAAAAAAAGGACCTACATTTGGAAAACAGTTCTGAAAATCTTAAAACACAAAGCCCAACACAGTTCTCAATCCTCTCCCAACATTATAACTTACAGGAACTCAGTCACACAGCATATAGACAGGCCCTTTGGCCCATCATGTCCATGCCAACTAATAAACACCAAACTACACTAATCCCATTTACCTGTATTGGGTCCATAGCCTATGACCTGGAACTTTAAATATTGCAAACTTTTTATTAACCAGCACCTATGGAACCAGGAGTGCACCAGTTAATCAAATATTCTGATTGATCAAGAAGTCCATGTAATCAACGTTAAAAACATGTACTAAGTAATAAAAACATAATGCAGGAAGAATACATGTCACAGTTACAATTTATTTGCAGCATGAATCACTTACATAATAATGTGACTTTGTCTTGTATAAAAATTACCAGCAGAGAGTCTTCTCACTCACATCCTCAAATAATAACTTGGACATTGCAGAGATTACGATAATACAATAAACTTCCAATATTTGAGGTATAAAATTTTTGCTGGTTTATCAAGAGTGCCAGTTCCTAAGGTGCCAATTAAAACGTTTACTGTACTCATCTAGATGTTTCTTACGTGCTGCGAGTGTACTTGCCCTCACCACTCTCTCAGGCGGAACGTTCCATATATCAACCACCCCCAGGTGAATTGTTTTCTCTCAGATCTCCTCTAAAATCACTTGCTTCTCATCTTAAAAACTTATGTCCTTTGACCTTAGACACATCTGCCATTGGGGAAGAGATTCCTTCAATCTACTGTCTAGGTCTCAATTTTTTTAAACCTCAATCAGATCCCCCCCTTACAGCCTTCTCTGCTCTAAGGAAAACAAGCACAGCCTATGCAGTCTCTCCTTGTAACTGAGACTTTTCACCCCAGGCAACATACCGATGACTCTCTTCTACACCCTTTCCAATGCAATCACTGTGACGACCAGAACTGCACACAGTATTCCTTCCATGGCCTAACCATTGTTTTATAAAATTGTAATAAGACTTCCTTGCTTCTATATTCTACACCCCAGCTACTGAAGGCAAGTATTCATAAAGCTTCTTCACCACCGTATCGGCTTGTGCTCACAACTTCAGGGATCCAAGGACTTGTACACCAAGGTCCCTTTGTTCCTCAGCACTCCCTGGGGACCTACCATTCATTACATATATCCTTCCCTTATTAGAGCTCCCAAAATGCATCACCTTGCACTTACCGTGATTAAATTCCATCTGCCATCACTCTGCCCAGTTTACTAGCTGATCAATAACAGACTGCAGCCTAAGCCCACCCTCTTCACTATCAACAAGGACCCCAATTTTTGTATCATCTGCAAATTTTCTAATTGAACCATCTCCATCTAAATTGCTAGTGTTCATAACAAGCAGCAAGGGTCCGAGCACCAATCTTTGTTGTACAGCCCTAGTCACAGGCTTCCAATTACAAGAAACGACCTCCTATTTGACTTCAGTTTGCCTTGGATCCCATGGGCTCTTACCTTTTAAACCAACCTTCCATGTGGGACCTTGTCAAAGGCCTTAGTGAAGTTCACGTCAACCACATCAACTGCACTACCCCCATCAATATATTTAATCACTTTTTCAAAAAACTCAATTAATCAGACAGGATTTTCCTCTAACAAATCCATGCTGACTATTCCTGATCAATTCCTGCCTTTCCAAGTATTTGATTAATCCTATCCTTCAGAATTTTTTCCAATAATCTTCCTACCATTGACATCAGACTAACTGCTCTGACCCTGCTGACCTTCTTGATTAAAAGAACCACACTGGCTATCCTCCAATCATTTGTAACTTTGCCTATGGTCAGTGAAGTAAATATATCCGCCAGGGCCTCAGCAATCTCCTCCCTTGTCTACCATACAGGTCTGGGAAACATCTCATCAGGCCCTGGGAATTAATACTCCTGTATGCTCTCTAAAACATATACTAATCTCCTCCTCATTAATCTTAACATGTTCTAGAACCTTACCATCCCAACTGATATCCCCAGCTACAATGTCTTTCTCCTCTTTGAATCCAAATGAGAAGTATTCACTTAAGTCCTCACATATGTTCACACACAGGTTGCTTTTTTGATTTCTAATAGGTTCCACTCTTTTCCCGATAATCCTCTTTCACTCAAAATATTTATAAAAAGCCTTGGAGCATTCCTTGATCCCACCTACCAAAGATATTTTGTGGTCCTCTTTGCCCTCCTAATTTCTTTTAAACAACCTCCTCTACGCTCTATACTTTTGAAGGACCTCCCCTTTATTTAGTGCACTATACTTGACATATGCTTCTTCTTTGTCTTTATCAAAGTCTCAATATCCCTTGAAATCAAATGTTCCCCAGACTTGCTGTCCTTGCCCTTCGCTCTCAGAGGAACACGCTGGCCTTGAATTCTCATTATACTACTTTTAAAAGATATCCACTTTCCAAATTTAGATTTACCTGCAAGTAGCTGCTCCCAGTCTATGTTTGCCAGCTCCTGTCTAATGATATCAAAATTGGTCTTCCCCCAATTTGGATACATAACTTCTGCACTATCCTTCCCCCTTCCATAATGACTTTGAAACTGAAGACTTATGGTCACTATCTCCAATATGTTTGCCCACAAACTTCAACACTGGACTGGCTTCATTGTCTAGGTCTAGCATTGCTCCATCTTTTGTTGGACTATTTATGTACTGGCACAAAATGCTCTTCTGGATACACTTTAAACATTCCACCTTGTCTAATCCTTTCACACTAAGGTGATTCCAGTTAATGTTAGCAAAGTTCAAATCCCCAATGAATATAACCCTGTTTCCCTCACACCTTTCTGTACTTTGTCTCCATATCTGCTCCTCTTTCTCCCCTGTGGCTGATGGGAAGCCAGTAACATAATCCAAGCAAGGTCACTGCCCCTTTTTTTTTTAAAATTTCTAAGCTATACCCAGATGGTCTCATTTGAAGACCCAGCTAGGATGTTCTCCCTCATTACTACAGTGGCAGTTTTATTTATCAATAATGCAATGCCCTCCTCTCTTACTTCTACTCCCATCACAGCTGAAACTTCTGTACCCTGGAATGTTGAGTTGCCAGTACCAGTGCACCACAACAGGGTCCTTCAATAGGTCTCAGCAATTGCAACAATATCACATTCCCTTGTGCTGATCCATGCTCTAAGTTCATCTGCCCTAACAGTCGAGCTCCTTGTGCTAAAATAGATACAACTTAGCTTTTTAGATCTCGAATGTACCTTATCCTACCCATGCCTTCTTCACCTACTGGTCTGTCCTACCATTTCATCTATATCTGATAGGAACTTGCTCCCAATTTTACATCAACTCTGTGCCCCAGCCCCTGCCAAATCAGTTTAAAACCTCCCCAACAGCAGGAGTAAACATCCCAGAAAGGATATTGGACCCATTCTTTTTAAAACCATTTTTTTCTAATCAACCTGTTCAGAAATGCTTTTATCCACCTCCAGAGCAGTTAGAACTTAAACCTAGGCCTCTCTGTCCAGGGGGCAGGGACAGTACCACTGTGCCACAAGAGGGCCCTTTGTACAGGTACAACCATCCAGCTGGTACAGGACCCACCTACTCCAGAAGCTGTCCCATAAATCTAAAGCCCTCTCTCCTAACACCATACCTTTAGCTATGCACTCATCTCACCTATCTTTCTATTCCTGTACTCAGCAGCACATGGCACTGGAAGCAATTCAAAGATTACCATAGTAGTCTTCTTCTTTAATATACTACCTAACTCTAAACTCCTGCTGCAGGCCCTCATTTCTTTTTTAACCTATGTCATTGGTTCCAATACGTACCATGGCTGCTGACTATTCACCCTCCCACTTCAGAATGCCCTCCAGCCACTCAGACATCCCTGACCCTGCCACCAGGGCACCATACTATTGCTGCCAAAGAACCGCCTGTCATTTCCCCTTACAATCAAGTCCCCATCACTAAAGCTCTCTCGATCTTATTAAATTATGCATATATTGTATTTTCATATCAATCACAGATTTTATTTTCAAAATTGAATGGGACCTAAATTTATAATTTGAATTGCAAAATATTACAACAGGCAAGATGTAAAAATAGCACTAATTAATTAGGATGCACAAGGTAAACAGACAAGAAATGGAAAAACGTGTTAGGAAACACGCTTAAGGGAAAATGATTTTTTTTGTTTATCAATCTGAACATGACAGACTTAGGTATTCAATGCCAGATCACGCAATATCTGAAGAGAAAAAAAATAGACTTGATATTTCAGGTCGATGATCTTTCAGGCAATCATTGAACTGAAAGACTGACACTACTCCTCTCTCCAAAAATGCTGTCAAACCTGAGTATTTCTAACATTTTCTGTTCTTATTTCAGAGTTCCTGCGTCCAAAGACTGCAGTGCTGTCTGATACAATCTGCATCAATTCCTGCTTCCGAAACATCTATAATCTGCGTGCAGACGCCCAAATATGTTAGAGTGCACAGTTTCATGCAGAATATAAATATGATCATTAAACTATTTCCAGAAGTTATAATTGTCTAAAGTAATGTTAAACATCCTTCAAGAAAAGTACTTCTGCACACTTGTAAGAGTACTTAGGAGACTTAACATTGCAAAGTTCAGTAATAAATGTGGAATGATATTTCCAACCACAAGTATAAACTAGTACCAATTAATTTGGATGTATAGATAGAAATTATAGCTCCACCTTCCCCTAACTGAACTAAAGATCTGATTTTTTGTCAGTATTCCAGTTAACACCACATTAACAGTCTGCACCTCAGATATCACAGGAACCTCTAAGGTGGGAATTTTGTACATTACTTTTTTGTTACAAGTTAAAAACAACTCACGAATCTTATCATGATTACAAGTGAGCATACTGAACTATGTGACAAATGTAGGAAATGAATAATGCAGTCTTTAAACTGAGTATGGCCACTGTAATTTGGAACAACAGCGAGGGGATGTAATTCTATGCCAAGTGCGGCCACCACATGCCTACAAAAAAAAACCACGGGAAACTGTTTATCAAACTGTAGTGAATAAGTACCACCATTAAAGATGAAACGCAAGAACAGACTTTGATGAACAAAGACCCATATTTTGTGATAATTCCGTAAGCACATGACAAGGTAAATGGGTGCCCTGTCACTAATTTCCCACAGATATATTGAAATTTGTGCATGATGTCATGTGCATTAAATAGTAAGTAGCAAGAAAAGGTAAACAAGATGTGTAGCAAAAGGCCTTGACAGTACATTCAAATCTAGTTTTTTTTTACATCAGATATTGATGTGGAGAATTATAACAAAATTCGCTTGGATCCTTCATGTACTTAAAGGAACAGAAGCATGTGTTTCTGGGATGAGATAAAGAGGCTTTCCAACGCGGAATATAGAAAAACTAACATGAACCCTTTGGGCCAAATGGCTGGCTTTCATGAGACATTAAAATTTTATGACCTCTCAAGATCATAGATCCACAATGCAAGAGCAAAATACTGCAGATACTGCAAAACACAAAATGCCAGAAATACTCAGGTCAGGTAGAACCCATGGAAAAATAAATCAAGTTAACATTTTACATTCATGACTCTTCATCAGATCTACCATTAGTAGTATTACAAGAAAGTTATGAACATTTGTGATAACAACACTAATGCAACTGACCTTAAAAAAGATACCAGGTTATTTAATGCACGGTAAAAGTAATTATAGAAACGGCCTGATTTTTAACAAAATGTCAAATACTTAAAGAAGGAACAGCTGCTCTCAAGGACAATGTTGAATATTTCTTACTTGTACTTTCAAAAGCCAGGGCTGTATGGACAAAAGGAATGAATTAAATGAAGAACATAAACACTGGACCAGGAATCAACCATTAAGCCTATTGCTCATTCAATAAGGTCATGGCTAATCCTCGACGTCCAACTCCAGTTTCTCACCAGGTCATCATACTCCTCGATCCTGGAGATGTCTGCATTTGAACAACCTACAATTCTCTGAAGTAGAACATTCCAAAGATTCACAATACTCCAACTAGAAAGCCGGCAGTCTGGGTGACGACACCCCTACCTCCACTCCATATAAACCCACCAGCCGCCATCCATTCCTCTTACCATTATCCCATATGTCAATAGTGACTTAGGTGACAGGGTGATAGAAGTCAGAGCAGGGCGCGGTAGTCCCGCCTCCCGATTGACCCGGTTACCATAGCAACCGGTCGTTTTGTCGCTCGCGGCGATGGGGGGGGGGGGAATGAGAAGAAATCGCTCAAGGTCCCGGATGGTCAGCGCCTCGCTCTCGCGCAGCACTCGACAGGCAGCGGAGGAGGGGCACACAGCCAGCTTAAGAGGCAACGAGAAACAAACAGCTCCATCTCACCTAAGCCCTGCACCCACATTCACGCCCACACTCCCCCGAAGCCGACACTAGAGCGCTTCATCCGCTCACTTATCCCACCGAAGGAAAGCCACTGCTCTGTTTATCGCTTTAACCCCGATTTAAATACACGACAAACGGACAGCATCAGAGGAGGCATGCGGCGACACGTACCTGTCCTCTGAAGCAAATCTCTTCCTCCAGCGGAATTTTCTACCACCGCACAACCGAAAACCGCGAACAGAAACGAATGCTCGAGGAACCTGCGTAGTCGCCAACTGCGCATTCCCCATCAACGTCACAGACAGCTCGCGGTGTGGGCGGGGCCATACTTGGTATCGTGTCACAGATTCTAAGGGGCGGGGCCGTGCCTGGAATGAGCGTCAAAACACAGAATGTAAGTTCCTGGAAGGTTTGGGTAAGATTACTCAATCAAAAAAAAATTAAAGGCATTTTTCTTGTTTTTGCACTGTAAGTAAATCATCTCTGTGAAATTAAAATGCGGAAGTCAGCTATAATCTGCAAAAATAAGGGGTGTTAAATTCTCAAAATATTTTCTGTTCAGCTGACTCAATTGTAATTCTGGTTGACACCAACAAATTGCTTAAAAAGGCTCCTCTCGTCCAGTAAGCAAGCTGCAAAGAGAAAAGTACAGCGGCAAAAATACAAGCTCATTCCAAAAGGTCTGAAAAGAGACCAGTGAGGCAATCACAGCAGCAAGCTTTTGGGTGCTTTTGACATACCTTCACACCATAACTTTTTTTTTATTTTTCATACGTTTCGAAATGACTCTATTAGGTATAAAATTCACGAAGAACCCGTAATGTCCAGCGGTTTGAAAGTGGGCTGCACTTATTTCCCAAAGCCAGGACAATTAACAGGGCAGCATTCACGCAGTACGCATTGATTTGTAGAGGAGGGCTAATCTCACGCACCTTTTTACTGAAAGAAGGGAGCTGCGCATTTCTGAGAGGAGCATTCGATCAGGAACCCTTCAGAATTCGGAACGGTACTTCTATTCTGACAGCTGTTTCTAGTGCAGAAATGTCGGGAAGGTAAACCTTTTTCACAAAGATCAGAGAAGTAAAGGGTAGGGTGTCAGGTGGGTAAGACTGTTCACTCCCTCCACCACCAATGCCCAGTAGCAGCCGTGTTCACAATCTACAAGATGCACTGCAGAAATTCACCTAAGATCCTCAGACAGCACCTTCCAAACTCACAACCACTTCCATCTAGAAGGACAAGAGCATCAGACATATGGGAACACCACCACCTCCGAGTTCCCCTCCAAGCCACTCACCATCCTGACTTGGAAATACATCACTGTTCCTTCACTGGGTCAAAATCCTAGAATTCCCTCCCTAATAGCATTGTGCGTCAATCTACAACAGAAGGACTGCAGCAGTTCAAGAAGGCAGCTCACCACCACCTTCTCAAGGGCAACTCGGGATGGTCAAGAAATGCTGGCCAGCCAGCAATGACCGCATCCCACAAATGAATAGAAATAAAAGGATGCCAAGTAAGTAGGGTGCAAGGTGGCTAGGAAGGCAGGTGAGTGACACCCTGTTTTAGGGTAGGTCGGGGGGGATGGAAGAAATTGGTTCAGTGGGGCAGTCAGGGATGGTGGATGCCAGGTCATGGAAGAACTGTGTCTGGCAGTGGGCTCAGATTTATTCCAGTGGGGTGGGGGGGCATCCGCTCGGTTCTGATGAGGATAGGCATTGTGTCAGGTTCAGTAGCAGTGCAGCCACTTCTGGTCCAGTCCAGCAGGGAGGTGCATCCTGTCAGACAAGGATGGATGGGGGGATCATGTCGGGTCCCCCAGAGGGGATGTCCATGTTACTGAAATGGATCGTTTTCAAATATATCAATCAGCTTGACAAGCATGCCTCAACCAGATAAACCAGATTTTTAATTAGATTTGCGAGATGAATATTCCAATTATTTATTACTTCCGTTTTTCTCCTGATGGCTATCTCTCTGGCAGAAGACATCATATTGAAAGCAACCTCCCTAATAATTAAGGAGCAATCAATTCAAGGTCTGTGACATGTTAATCGGTTATGTTTCTTCAATACTGACATGAGCTGGTACAAAGGTATGAATTAGCTACACCTGGGAGTACCAGACTAGGCACATTTCCCGTTAACAAAGGCACCCTATAATTGCACCTTTATTGATCTGCTTCAGAAATGTGATCACTAAGCTGAGGTGTCCAGTGCATTACTGAGTGAGGGCTAGACTGTCAGAAATACCTCCTTTCAGAAGAGATCTTTCAACTGAGACCCTGATTTTCCCTTTCAAGTGGTTATAAAAGATCCATGTCACATTTTGAATTCAAGGTAGCACTTCCTGATGTCCAGCTCAATATTTGTCTTTCATGTAAAACTCAATAACAGATTATCTTACATTGTTGTTAGTTAGAGTTTGCTGTGCACAAATTGGCTACCTACATCTCAGTGGTGAATACACTTCAAAAGCACGTAACTGGCTATGAAATGCTTTGGATTGTCCTGAGATCATGACAGCTGCAGTAGAAGTACAAACTTTTCTTTCCTTTTTTATTGATAGATGCAAATGGTGAATTTAACTAGCACTAGCAGTTTCCTCAGCATTGCAGATATGATCTTGCCTTCTTCCAGGCCTTCTGGCTATTGCATGGGATGTTTTCTCCTTCAGCAATCTCCTTCAGACCCTGCAGTGTTCTTCTGAGGGAAAGGTGCCCTGGAATGGTCAACAGGACCAATTTTCTGATTTCTGCTGCTGCATTGTCAAAGCCAGATGCTGATTTGGTAGTGTCCTGCCCCATGACTTCATTGCATTTCAAACCCAGTGAATGGTTTGCTGCCCTAGAATGCACAATTAACTAAGTCGCTACTTTCAAATGGACACCACAAATTCAGCAAAGCCCCATCAAGTGCAGAGATTGCAGCAAATAGCTAATTAAGTGCACATGGTTCCACTGAGATTTTACTGAGGCGCATGCTTCCACTGTGTATCATTGAGAGTTCACTGACCAGCAAGTCCAGCCTTTATGTAAGAATATTGAGAACTGATACCCTGTACTTAATGAGACAAGAGCCTGAAGGGAGTACTGCTCTCTCTGGACATCCTGCCGGAGCAAGACAGTTGGAACCTTTAAAATCATTGTCCTAAAGATGAAAAGGTGACCAAAAAATCATCATCTGCAGCATTGTCCTTTTCAGTACATCAGTGACCAAGAATGCCCAAATTTTGATATGTTGCTTTCGCCCTAAGCTCTGAAATTACCTCCCAACATCTCTCCATTCCTCTACATTGCTCTGCAAAATTAAGACTCACCATAAAACTTACTTCTTTGACCAAGTGTTTTGTTGTGTATACAAACGTCACTCAGTGTCAGATTTATTTTGATTATTGTTCCTTTGAAGCACATGGGGATATTTACTACATTAAAGATGGACAGAATAATCAACAAAAACATAAAGAAGAGCTAACAAATGAGGGGAAGAAAAAGTGTACAATAGGAAGCTAGCTGGAAATAGAAAAACAGATAGTAAGAGTTTGTCTGGATCTTTATAGAAGAAGAGTCAACAGTGAGCATTATCCCTAAAGAAAGTGAGTATGGCAATTAATAATAGAAAATAAGAAGATTGCAGATGAACTGATCAGGTATTTTGCATCAATCTCAATATAGAAAACATTAGTAATCTCAGAAATAGCTATAAATCAAGAAATGGAAGGGACAAAGAAACTCGTGCAAATAATGATCTCCAGGAAAGTGGTACTGAATAATTTGTTGGAGCTGTAGGCTAACATGTAGCCGTGTCCTGATGGACTTCATCCTAGAATTTCAAAAGAATTGGCTCATGAGATAATTGCTGCATTGGTTTTCATTTTCTAATATTCTCTAAAATTGGGGAACATTCTTTTAGATTGGAAAATAGCAGGACACTTAGAAAAGTACAAGGTACTCAGATAGAGTCAACATGGTTTTGTGAAAGGGAAATATTGCTCAATCAATTTATTAAAGTTCTTAGAGAAAGTAGCAGGCAGTGTATATTAAGCGGACCTGGTGGATGTGCTGTACTTAAATTTCCAGAATGCATTGATAAGCTATCAAATCAAGGATGATTGTGGAAAATGAAAGCTAAGGGTCATGAGGATAATATATTAACCTGGATAATTACATAAGAATTCACAGTTTTATGTGCATGAAAAGAAAATTTTTGGCTAAGGGGAACATGGGGCCGTTATAAGTAGTCACAAGAATTTATAATGGGGATTAGAAAAATAGTAGAGAAGCTAAATCACTACTTTGTCTGTTTTCACAATGACAGATAAACCTCCACAGTTAATTCTGGAGAAACTAATAGGAATTAGTTGATAAAGGGGATGTATTTAGATATTTTCTAATCAACCTATTCAGAGATGATGTTGAGTACCTCTGGAACAGTTTGGACTTGAATCCCGGCCTTCTGGCCCAGAAGTAGGGACACTACCAATGCATCACAAGAGCTCTTTTGTTGGATGCTGCATTTTTTTAGAAGTTTCTGCAAAGGTTCCTATAGTAATTGGAACCAGGTAGGTCTTATTAACTATGCGATCTGTGATTGGGGTAGTTAACCTAGGCCAAACAGGGAACCTTGGTTGACTAATATAAACAGGGGATTCAGAACGTCTTCACTTCAGGGACTGACTCTGAGTTGGCTGGCTACAACCAGTGTACTGTTCACATGTAAATAAGGGGCGACTTGGTGAAGGGATACCGGCCTCTGTGCAGTTATTTCAGCCCCCACAAGAAGTTAGTTAGCAAAATTAAAGCACATGGTATAAGAGGTAATGTACTGCCATGATTAAGGATTGGCTAACTGACAGAAAACAAAGAGTAGAAATAAATACGTCATTATTCTGTTGGCAGACTGTGATCAGTTGGGTACTGCAAAGATCAGTACATATGTCCCAGCTGTTCACAATATTATATCAGTGACTTGAACATAGGGACCACATGTAATATTTCCAAATTTTCAGATGGTACAATACTAATCAGGATTGTGTGTTGTGAGGAAGATGGAAAATGTTTCTTGAAGGATTAGGACAGGCTTAGTGATTGGGCAAGAACATGGCAAGGGGAATGTCATGTGGAAGAGTGTGAGGTTATTCACTGTGATAGCAGGAACAGATATGCAGTGTATTTCTAAAATGGTAATTGGTTGGAAAGTATAGATCTGCAAAGAGACTTGGGTGTCCTCTTCAATAAGTCACTGAATGCTAACATGCAAGAGCAGCAAGCATTAGGAAGACTAATGGATTTTTAAAAATTCACTCGTGAGATAAGGGCATCACTGGCTGACCAGTGCTTATTGCCCATTCCTAATGCCATTGAGAATTGGTGGTGTGCTGCCATCTTGAACTGCTGCAGTGCATCTGAAGTTGCTAGACCCACAAAGTTCTTAGAGAGGGAATTCTAGGATTTTGACCCAGTGACAGTGAAAGAACAGTGATATATTTCCAAGTTAGGATGGTGAATGGCTTGGAGGGCAACTTGCGATATTGTTAGTGTTTACACATATTTGCTGCCCTTGCCCTTTTCGATGGAAGTGGTTGTGGGTTTGGAAGCTGCTGACTGAGGACTTTTGGAGAATTTCTGCAGTGCATCTTGTAAATAATAGATACTGTGCTACTAAGCATCAGCGGTTAAGGGAGTAGATGTTTGTGGATGCCTTTATTGAAAGAGTATTTGAGTATATGAATAGTGAAGTCTTGCTTCAGGTTTTTTTGGAACTCCGTTAGACTGCACCTGGAGTAATGTGTGCAATTTTAATCTTCAAAACTCAGGAAGTTATTGCTATACAGGGAGTGCACTGAAGGTTCACTAGACTTGTTCCCCATTGGACTGTTTAATGAAGAGAGATTGGACAAACTCAGTCTGTGTTCTCCAAAATTTCAAAGGATAGATGGTTTTCTCAAAAATACCTAAAAGGATCAACAGGGTAGATGCAGGTAGGATGTTTCTTCTGGTTGGAAAGTGGGGGGAAGAACCAGGGGGCATAATTTAAAAATAAGGGGTTGCTATTTAGAACAGAGAGGAGGAGAATTTTTTTTTTGTTCCTCAGAGGGTGGTGAGTCCTTGGAATTCTCTACCACAGATGGCCGTGGAAGCTCAGAGAATACAGTTAAAGTTAATAATTTTTTGATCGTGACTAATGTAAAGGGTTATGGATGAGTAAATGGCATTGAGATAATCAGTCAACCATATTATATTTAATGGCAGAACAAGCTTGATAGACTGAATGACCTGCTCCAGTTCAATTGGATAGAATACTAGTTAGCTATCAGGAAACGGTAGGCATAAAAGGTTCATTTTCTCGTTGTAAAGATGCAATGAGTGTGCGTAGTAGGAAACAGTACTGAGGCCTCAAAGTTTTGCAATTTATATAGATGACTTGGAGAAGGAAGTGAAAGCATCGTTGCTAAAAATGAAAACAAGATAGGTAGGAAAGTAAATTGAGAAGAGGCTATAAGGAGGCTACAAAGAAATATAGATAGGTCAAGTGAATGGGCAAATTTAGCAAATGGAGTAATATGTGGGAAAATGTGAAATTGTCCATTTTGGACAGGAAGGAAGCAAAAGAAGCACATTTCTAAACAGTAAGAGATTGGAGCGATGCCGTGGGATCTTGGTGTTATAGTGCATGAAGCACAAAAATCTAGTGTGCAGGTACAGAAAGTAATTAGGAAAAAGAATTATGTAATTTATTGCAGGGGGGATTGAATACAAAAATAGGGAGTTTAGTAGGGTTTTGTGTTAGAAGATTAGCCATTATCTTATTGTATGGGGAAGCAGGCTCAAGAAGCCATTTGACCTATTTCTGATCTATTTGCACTAACTTCTGACAAGGTGAACATCAAAATCAAAAGCTTCAAATTAACCCAATGATGCATCTGTATAAGTTTTTGTTCGTTACATGGAATGTGAATATTTTAAAAGCATTAGAATGGATTTTACAAATTAATTTGATAGATGAGATATGCTGTTTTCTGTGTACTTCCAAAGTTAGATATATGCTTCTGACATGCAAAACTCCACAAAATTTGCAAAAATGAAAAATATAACTTTGTGTTCCAATTCTGTTCCATCAAGTACTCAGAACCTTATTTTTTTTCCTGGTCCAGATTTCCTATGTCTGTTTGCCATTGTCCATGTTCGTCCTAACTTCTTACACTTTTCCCCACACAATCTATCTCATCTCAATATGTGGAGTTCATACTGGATCACTAATTTAAAGTGGTAATTGATATAGCGGTAAATGAATACAGGAGAAATGTCTTCACCCAGAATGTGATGAGAAAAGAACTTTTACAAGATGATTTATTTCAGTTGAATAGCTTAGGTACATTTAAGGGCAGGATGGATAAATATTTGAATAATAAAGAAACAAAAGATTACGTTAATGGAGGTCGCTCATATGAAGCGTAAACTCCAGGACAGATGTTTGTTGGGCCCAATGGCCTACTTTTCTGCTGTTAATTCTATGTATTGCAATATAAATAAACTCGTGCATTCATCAATCATAGGGTGTTAGATTAAAGCTCGTGGTGTGATTTTTCTCACTGCAGAATGTCTGGCAATGTTCTGTTTTTTCACTGAATTGGTTCCAATACTTGATGTGGCTGTCGCAAAATTACATAAAGGCTAAACCTATACGACAGGACTCCAATCTCTCGTTGGAAAACATGGCTGTTGTGACAATTCATTCCTGATACTGTGTACGAAGCTAGCAGCATGTCTGAAGCATCTAAATGAGAACGGTGAGAAAAATCAATATTCTTTCACCTCTTGTGTGAAGCTTCAATCTCTTTAATAAGTATCTGGATAAGAAGTAGTAACAGTAAGTGAGAAACTCAAATCAGAACACCTCCAAAAGTTATTTAAAGGCACAAGTTCATTTTGATCTCTATGTGCCACAGTTTATGGGTGATGATCAAAAGAGTTATGAAATATCAGCTCAATTTGACAAGTTTTTTAAAAAATGAGGGGACTAGATTTTCTTCTGAGAATCCATTCCTTCTTGGGCATTCCTGAGACTTGAAGAAAACGGAGTCAAAATTGACTCTTCACCCCTCCCACTCCTCCTCCTCCCCCCCCCCCCCCCAGAAAAAAAAGAAATAGCCTTGGGAATAAACTAAAGTGCCACTAACTGCTGAGCAGCAACTCAACCAGGTGGATGGCAATGGACAGGTTGCCAAGGTAGAGTTAATTTTCGATATCAGGTTATGCGAGGAAGGCATAGGGCAGAGTTCATGTGGAGTTGGCCCTGCTTTTTCTGTGTTGTCCAGTAGAAATTGTTGATTCGCCACAGGTGCGACAAAGATAATGATATTTTAGCAGCAGCTACTGGCACTATAATTAGTATAAAAATCTCTTAAAGACAGTTTAGGTAAATGTACATGTTTAAAGTATGTTTATTTAACAAATATCCACTGTCATTTAGTATGACCACTGCAGTCTTTCTTTTTTTGTAAAGCTTGAAATTCAGTTATGAATTTATCAGGCGCCATATTTCTTAGTGCAGTTTCTAGGTTCTTGTCTAGCATAGCGTGCAGGACTTTGACTTTATCACAATGATTGCTGAAATCTGTTGCCAAGACATTCCCTGTTTGGGCTGCTGGTCATTGGTTGTGTTTGCTTTTCTTACTGGCCAGGAATGGTTACTATGATTGGTCAAACTGACAATGATAACAGCTCCCCCTATCAATGCTACTGATGTTTCCATGGTACTGACGTTCAGGATCTGATGAAAATTATATGAAACGATGTGCTTTACATTTTATCATTTTACCAATCAATGCACAAAAAGGTTCACATTTACGTGCAAACACTGCGTGAAGACAAGTATTGAAATTACACAAAGTGTCTAATTTTTATTTTACTAACATAGCACAGGTAAGTTTCCTGCTACTTGTGCAGCCAGGGCCAAGCTAACTGTTGGGATTTTGATTTGCAGTGTTTATCTGGTGCTGAGTAAAACGAGTAATCCTAACCCTAATGAAAAGTCATTGACCTGAAACATTAACATTGTTTCTCTTCATCGATGCTGCCTGACCAGCTGCCTTCCCAACACTGTTGTTCTTTTAGTTCTGACAATAACCCTAACCTCTCCTAATTCTATAAATTACCAGGGTGTTTGGTCAACATCAGTTGTATTCTGCAGTACTGCAAGCATGCCTTGGCTCAGTAATACTAAGTCTGCATTAGAGGATTAGTTCAGTTCCAGATGACCATCTCCAGGCTTCTGGAGCTCAGTCCAACTTGCTGCACAAGGAATATGTAAGATTCTAAGGTTTTGGAGTAGACTTGTAGCTCGGGTTGTGGGCGTTGAGGTTGGTTGGCTCGCTGAGCTGGTTTGTTGTTCCACAGACCTTTCGTTACCATGCTGGGTAACATCATCAGTGCAGCCTCCGATGAAGCATCGGTGTGTTTTCCTGCCTGGTTTTTAAACTCTGGAGTCTGTTGAGCTGGATTGCTTCATTTCCAGTTTTCCTTCATAGTGGAGTGTATATGGGGTTGAGTTCTATGTGTTTATTAATGGCTTTCTTCATGGAGTGCCAGGATTCTAGGAATTCCCGTGCCTGTTTATGCTTAGCTTGTCCCAGGATTTTGGTGTTGTCCCAGTTGAATTGGTGGTTTTCCTTCTCCACGTAGATTGAGACAAGTGAGTACTGGTCGTGTCTTTTTGTAGCCAGTTGGTGTTCGTGTACCCTTGTTGTTAGTTTCCTTCCTGTTTGTCCGATGTAGTGTTTCTCACAGTCTCTGCAGGAGATCTTATAGATAACATTGGTCCTGTCCATGGCGGGGAGTGGGTCTTTAGTTCGGGTGAGCAGTTGTCATAGGGTTGATGTGGGCTTGTGTGCCACTCTGATGCCCAGCGGTCGTAGGAGTCTTGTGGTTAGTTCCGATGTGTTCCTGATGTAGGATAGTGTGATGAATGTGTTGTGGCGTGTAGTATCTTCCTGATGTTGTTCGTGTAGGCAACTTCTGACCCAGTTTTTTGGATATCCATTATCCTTGACAACCTGGAAGAGGTATTCTTCTTCCTCTTGGCGTAGTTTTGTGTTGCTGCAGTGTGTTGTTGCCCGTTTAAAATAGTGTTCCAGCGCAGCTTCGTTTGTGTGTGTTGGGATGGTTACTGTTGAAGTTCAGTACTTGGTCTGTGTGTGTGGCTTTTCTGTATACTTTCGTTTGGAGTTCCCCATTTGTCTTGCGCTGTACCGTGACGTCCAGGAACGGGACCTGTTTGTTCTTCTCCTCATCTCTGGTGAATTTTATTCCGGTGAGGGTGTTGTTTATAAGTTTGTGTGTCTCTTCTAGTTTGGTCCGTTTAATGATGACAAAGGTGTCGTCCACGTAGCGAATCCATAATTTTGGTTGGATTAGTGGAAGGGCCGTCGTTTCTAGTCTTTGCATCACTGCCTCTGCTATGTGTCCGGAGATAGGTGATCCCATGGGTGTCCCATTGATTTGTTCATATGTTTGGCAGTTGAAAGTGAAAGGCATAGGTCCAGCAGTTTGAGCATGTTGTCTGTGGAGATGGTTTCACTGGGGTCTTACTCTTGTTCCAGTAGTGCTGTCATTGTTTCCCTTGCTCGTGGTATGTCTATTGATGTAAATAGGGCAGTGACGTCAAACGATATCATGGTCTCCTTGTCGTCTATTGATGTCTTTGATGGAGTCGAGGAATTCTTGGGCTGAGTGGATTGAGTGGGGTGACTTGTTGACTAGGTGCCTGAGTCTCCTTTGTAGTTCCTTGGCTAATCTGTGGGATGGGGTGCCTGGTATGGAGACTATGGATCTAAGGAGTACTTCCGGCTTGTGTACTTTCGGGAGGCCGTAGAATTGGGGTGTGTTGGTTCCTTCGGGTTTCATTCTTAAGAAGTCTGCTTTGTTGCTCTGTCCTGTCTGTTTAAGTCTTTTTAGCGTGTAGAGGATTTTGTTGCCTAGTTGTGGTGGCAGGTCAGTCTGTACTGGCCGGTATGCGTTTTCGTCGGCGAGCAGTGCCTGTGCCTTGGAGATGTAGTCCCTTTTATTCAGTATCACTGTCATGCACCCTTTGTCTGCGGGTAGTATTGTGATGTTCTTGTCCTTCTTCAGTCCTTCCAGGGCCTGTCTTTCCAATATGTTGAGGGTGTTGAGTTCGCTCCTTCTGGTTAGTGCCGGGATTACTGTCTGTCTTATCATTTGTTGTGTTTCTTCGTTGATATTGTTGGTCCTTAGTGTGGCTAGGAATTCCATTTTGTTGGCGTCCCTGTAGTTGTAGTTCAGTCTTCAGGTGAGAACGGCTTTTTCCGTGTCTGTCAGTTTCCTGTCGGAGAGGTTCCTTATCCAGGTGTCAGTTCTGTTGTTGTAGTTTTTGTGGGTAAGTGTGGCTAGCTTGTCTTGAAGGGTCTGTCTTTTCTTGGCTCTTGTGGTCTGTTAGCTGATGTTGATGGCTCGTTCCATGTCGGTTGTCCAGTCTTGATTGGTAGCTTCCAGGAACAAAGTTTTTTGGCGCGTAATTTCTCTGTTGTATCTGTGGAGCCAGTTGTGTGCATTATTTATCATTACCCTTACCATCTTGTGGCCTTTTTGTTCTGCTGTTTTGCGGGCTTGTGGGTTGTTGATGGGTAGTTTGTATCTCACACTGCGTGGTAGTACCTGGTTCCTGAGGCATCCATGTAGGAGGTAGAGTTGTGCGCGGGTTGCACTCTCTCGTTTGGCGTAGGTTTCCCATTTGCGTGCCAATTTGAGCGTGTTAAACCCGTAGGTCTCTAAGGTTTTGGAGTAGATTTGTAGCTCGGGCTGTGGGTATTGAGGTTGGTTGGCTCATCGAGCTGGTTTGTTGTTCCGCAGACATTTCGTTACCATGCTGGGTAATATCATCAATGCAGCCTCCGATGAAGCGTCAGTGTGTTTTCCCACCTGGTTTTTAAACTCTGGAGTCCGTTGAGCTGGATTGCCTCACTTCCGATTTTCCTTCGTAGTGGAGTGTGTATGGGGTCGAGTTCTATGTGTTTATTAATGGCTTTCTTCGTGGAGTGCCAGGCTTCTAGGAATTCCCGTGCCTGTCTCTGCTTAACTTATCCCAGTCGAACTGGTAGTTCTCTTTATCCATTTATCTGTGTGGATGGAGATGAGTGAGTATTGGTCGTGTCTTTTTGTAGCCAGTTGGTGTTTATGTACCCTTGTTGTTAGTTTCGTTCCTGCTTGTCCAATGTAGTGTTTCTCACAGTCTCTGCAGGGGATCTTATCGATGACATTGGTCCTGTCCATGGCGGGGAGTGGGTCTTTAGTTCTGGTGAGCAGTTGTCATAGGCTTGTGTGCCACTCTGATGCCCAGCGGTCATAGGAGTCTTGTAGTTAGTTCCGATGTGTTCCTGATGTAGGGTAGTGTGATGAGTGTGTTGGGACGTGTAGTATCTTCCTGATATTGTTCGTGTAGGCATCTTCTGACCCAGTTTTTGGATATCCATTATCCTTGAAAACCTGGAAGAGGTATTCTTCTTCCTCTTGGCGTAGTTTTGTGTTGCTGCCTGTTTAAATAATGTTTGCACACAGTTTCTTTAGATGCTGTGGCATCTACTTTACACTCATAGCTCAATTCATAGAATCTCTACAGTGTAGAAACAGGCCCTTTGGCCTAACAAGTCCACACCAACCCTCAGAGCATCCTACCCAGATGCATCCCTCCATAACCCACATAATCTACACCACCCTGAACACTACGGGCCATTTAGCATGGCCAATACACCTAGCCTGCACGTCTTTGGACTGTGAAAGGAATCCAGAGCACCCAGAGGAAACCCACGCAGACATGGGGAGAATGTGCAAACTCCACATAGACAGTTGCCCAAGGGTGGAATCGAACCCGGGTCCCTAGTGCTGTGAGGCAGCAGTGCTAACCACTGAGCCACCGTGCCGCCCTTTTTAGAGTGTAAAGAAACTTTAAAAAGAAACTACCAGTCATGGAGAACAAGAAAGCAGAACCAGAAAAATGCTCAGTCAACCTTGATGTTTTCAAGTAAGGCCCAAAGAAGCATTTGTTGACTGAACTTCTCTAAGTCACAGCAACCTTGTGCAGCAAGTCAGACTGAGCTCCAGAAGCCTGGAGTTGGTCATTTGGAACTGAACTAATCCTCTAATGCAGACTTAGTATTACTGAGCCAAAGCATGTTTGCAGTACTGCAGAACACAATTGATGTTGAGGTGATGGCCTAGTGGTATTGTCACTGGACTGTTAATCCAGAGACCCAGATAGTATTCTGGGGACCTGGGTTTGAATCCCACCACAGCAGATGATGGAATTGGAATTCAATAAATACCTGCGATTAAGAATCTAATGATGACTGCGAATTGATTTTCGGAAAAACCCATCTGGTTCACTAATGTCCTTTAGGAAAGGAAACTGCCATCCTTACCTGGTCTGGCCTACATGTGACCCTAGACCCACAACAATGTGGTTGACTCTTAACTGCCCTCTGGACAATTTAGGGATGGGCGATAAATGCTGCCTAACTAGCGATGCCCTCATCCCGTGAATGAATAAAGAATTTTTGCAATCTGCCCAGAATGACCCGTAAATAAACCCCTTCTGTAATTGCCCCTTCACATCTTCCAAAATGACGACACCACAAAATCATACTTCATTTTTTTGGTTAAAGGTTGAAATTAATTATGGAACAATGAACTAATAAATATATAACGTTACTGTAGAAAAGATGCATATAACCCAGTATACTAATCAATTTAGATGAAAACAAATATTAAAATATAAAACTACTATTTTGAAGGTGACATTTTATACTTGTTATTCTTTTCTTGTAATCCTTTTCTAACCACAGGAGCTAGCCAGCCATGCTTAGTTTCCTCTGAAGGTTCCAACTGACTTGACTCAACACTCACTCAGCTCCCATGATTTTGAACAGACCCAACTGATTTAGAGTTGAACAGTTGCCCAGGTTTGTTGATTTTAAATTACATATTCAACAGCAACTGCTAGTTGTACACATAACTGAAAATTCACATAGTGTGCACTTGTTTGAATGTAGTTCAGCTTCTTCCTCAAGCTTCTGAAATAACCCACAAACTTTGCAACATTTTTATTGAGTAAGACAAGGGAACATAACTCTGACAGCAGTTGGTTTTAAACTCTATTTCTAAAGGAAGAGTACAAAGATTAATGAAATTTTATTTCAAACATAGATTTGCCATTAAAGTGGAGAAGCAATATAGAATTTGACTTTCATTTCAGCTCTGCTTGAATGAAATAAAAAGTTTTCCTGTGTTGAAATGTTACAATGAAAAGAAGACTTACATTTCTGTTTCTAATAACTCAAGGCCTCAGGAATTCTCCAAAGTGACATATTTTTGACCTGTAATCACTGTGAAGTGAGAAACATAGCAGCTAATATAACAAATAGAAAATGCTGGAAATACTCAGCAGATCAGGCGGCATTGACGGAGAGTGAAATAGAATTAAAGTTTCAGGATGATGTCCTTTAAACAGAACAGATCAGTAACATTAAGTTGTCTTCTCTCCCTATAGATGCTGTCTGACCTACTGAGTATTTATAACATCTTATGCTTTTATTTCAGGTTTGCAGCAGTCACAACTTATGCACAGCAAGCTCCCACACAAAGTAATATAATGACAACCAGATAATTTGGTTCAGGAGTGTTAGCTGAAGGATAAGTATTGGCCAGGACATTGTGAAGGATGCCCTGTTCTTCTTCAAAACATGGCTGTGATATCTTTTACATTTATCTGAGAAAACAGGTGAGGCCTTAAGTTAATATCTCATCCTAAACACAATTCCTTAACTAGAATATTACGCCCAGTTGTTGTTGTCACACTTTAGGAAAGATTAGAAAATACAGAAAAGATTTGCACAAATAGTTTCAAGATTGAGGGGCTTCAGTTACATAGAATAAAACAGTTATTAGACCTCATTTAAAGTATTGTGTACAGTTCTGGGTGCCACATTTGGCAGGATCATAGAATCCCACACTGTGGAAGCAGGCCATTCAGCCTATCGAGTCCACACCAATCCTCCAAAGAGCATCCCAACCAGATCCACCCCCTGTTCTATCCCATAACCCTGCATTTCCCATGGCTAATCCACCTAGCCTGCACATCCCTGGACACTATGGGCAATTGAGCATGGCCAATCCACCTAACCTGAACATCTTTGGACTGTGGGAGAAAACCGGAGCACCCGAAGGAAACCCACACAGACACAGAGAGAATGTGTGGAATTTGCACAGACAGTCTCCCGAGGGTGGAATCAAAACAAGGTCCCTGATGCTTTGAGGCAACAGTGCTAACCACTGAGCCAATGTGCCATCCATGAACACATTGGAGACAGTGCAGAAGCAGTTTACAAGAATGATTCCCAGGATTAGGGACTTCAGTTATGAGATAGATTGAAGACATTCGGACTGTTCTCCTTGGAGAGAGGGAGGCCAAGAGGAGATCTGATGGAGGTTTTCAAAATCATGAGCAGGTTAGATCAGCAGAAACTGTTTCCACTCATGAAAGGTCCACAAACAAGAAGAAGATAGTAAGAACTGCTGATGCTGGAGTCAGAGATAACACAGTGTGGAGCTGGAGGAACACAGCAGGCCAGGCAACATCAGAGAGGCAGGAAAGTTGATGTTTCGGGTCGAGACCCTTCTTCAGAAATGGGGGAGGGGGAATGGGAGCTATGCAATAAGTAGAGAGAGGAGGGGTGGGGCTGGGGAAGATAAGTGGGGTGGCGATAGGTGAGTGCAGGTAGGCAGTGGTGGGGATTGGTCAGTGAGGTGGGAGGAGTCGATAGGTGGGAAAGAAGAAGGACAGGGCAAGGAGGCGGGGATGAGAGGGAGGGTTTGTCATGGGATGAGGCCGGGGGTGGGGAGATTTTGAAACTGGTAACGTCCACATTGAGACCATTGAGTTGTAGGCTCCCAAGGTGGAATATGAGGTGCTGCTCCTCCACTTTCCGAGTGGCATCATTGTGACACTGGAGGAGGCCCAGGATGGACATGTCACCCAGGGAGTGGGAGGGGGAGTTGAAGTGGTTTGCGACTGGAAGGTGTTATTGTTTGTCGTGAACAGAGGGCAGGTGCTCTACAAACCGGTCTCCGAGCCTCCGTTTGGTCTCACTGATGTAGAGAAGCACACATCGGGAGCAGCAGAAGGAGTAGACTGCAGTGGTGGATGTGCAGGTGAGCACTTCCTGAGGTTGCAGGGAAAGGTGCCGGGGGTGGTGGGGCCAGAGGGGAGTGTGGAGCGGACGAGGGAGTTGCGGAGAGAGCAGCCCCTATGGAAGGCAGATAAGGGTGGGGAGGGAAATATATCTTTGGTTGTGGGGTCAGATTGCAGGTAGCGGAAGTGGCGGAGAATGATACGTTGAATCCAGAGGTTAGTGGGGTGATACATGATGACAAGGGGGATTCTGTCTTTGTTTTTATTGTGGGGAGGGAATATGAGGGCAGAGGTGCTGGAAACGCAAGAGATTCGGTCAAGAGGATTTTTGACCACTGAAGGGGGGAGTTTGCTGTCCTTGAAATAAGAGGACATCTGGGATGTTCAGGAATGGAACACCCCATCTTGGGAACAGAGGCGGAGCAACTGGGTGTAGGAGATCACATTCTTGCAGGAAGGCGGGTGAGAGGAGGTGTAGTCTAGGTAGCTGTGGGAGTCGATGGGGAAATAGATATCAGTTTCGAGGCGGTCACCAGAGATGGAGACAGAGAGGTCCAGGAAGGAGAGGAAGGTATCAGAGATGGTCCAGGTGAACTTGAGGTTGGGGTGAAAGGTGATAGTAAAGTTGACGAACTGTTCAAGCTCCTCGTGGGAGCACGAGGCAGCATCAATACAGTCATCGATGTAGCGGAGGAAGAGTTGGGGGATAGTGCCAGTGTAGCTGCAGAAGAGGGACTGTTCCACTTATCCTACGAAGAGGCAGACATAGATTTAAAGTGATCTGCAAAAGAAGCAAGGGTGAAGTAAGGAAAACTTGTTCACTCAGTGAGTATATAGGGCATGAAATGCATGGCCTGGAATTGTGATGGAAGCAATATCAATTGATTATTTGATAGGATGTTGAATGATTATTTGGATAAAAATAATGTGCAAGAACATGGGAAACAGCAGGAGATTGCCACGAAGTAATGATACTCATTTAACGAGCTGGTGCAGGCACAATAAGCTGAATTGTTTCATTGTGTGCCATAACACTTCTGTGCTTTGAGAAATTGGAACTGTTTTCCTTCGAGAAAAGAAGATTGAGAGGCAGAGATATTCAAAACCGTGAGGGTCTGGGCAGACTGAATTGTTCTTACTAGTAGAAGGATTGAGAGTGATTTAAGGTAATAGCTAAAATAAACAATGAAGGCATGAAGAGAAACCTTCTCACATAGGCAAAAGTTAGGATCTGGAATGCCTTGCCCGAGAAGTGAAATGGATACAGGTTCATTTGAAGCAGTCAAGAGGGTATGAGACTATTATTGTCAAAGGAAGAGTATGCAAAATTATGGAGAGAGGCAGGGGAATGATACTAAGCTCATTGCTCATTTGAAGAGCCGCACAACAGGCCAAATGGCCCATTCCTGTGTTGTGAGAATCCTGCAAATCTGTGACAGAGCAGCTCTCCCTGCAGTGGGAGTGCCAACCTAGACTTTGTGCTCAAATTTCAGGAGTGGAATTTGAACTGACACAAAAGTGCTATCCCTGGAGCCACAGATCACAATGGATGGATAATGATAGAAATTGCTGGGAAAGCTCAACAGTTCTGGCAGCATCTGTGGAGAGAAATGAGAGTTAATGTTTTGGGTCCAGT